TGTTGGTCAGAACACCGCACTGTAGCCGTCTGTGATACGGCGCAGCGGGAAAACCGGTCAGTCTCGCAGCGATAGCGTTGGTTTATACCCAGTATTGAGAGGTATTATTTGATTCTGACCTTCCCTTCATGGTTGGGTCAGGACCTTAATTTTTGGAAAGCCTTCGCTGCGAAATTCGGGTGGGCAACAATCACGTTATATCAGGTCATAATGAGTTATTGAGCCAAGATTACCTTTAGGAAAAACTATTAGAGTCACTGCTGAGAATTCAGCTGGACATCTCTCCAAGGATATATTCAGCAACAGCTAATATTTATATGAGACGGAGGATGTTGCGTCAAACTGCCGCACTGTAGCCGTCTGTGATACGGCGCAGCGGGAAAACCGGTCAGTCTCGCAGCGATAGCGTTGGTTTATACCCAGTGTTAAGAGGTATTATTTGATTCTGACCTTCAATTCATGGTTGGGTCAGGACCTTTATTTTTGGAAAGCCTTCGCTGCAAATTCGGGTGGGCAACAATCACGTTTATATCAGGTCATAATGAGTTATTGAGCAACCTACCCCTTAAAAAAATCTTCTGAGAGACATCCCCAGCAACAGCCTAATATTTATATGAGACGGGGAATGTTGCGTCAAACTGCCGCACTGTAGCCGTCTGTGATACGGCGCAGCGGGAAAACCGGTCAGTCTCGCAGCGATAGCGTTGGTTTATACCCAGTATTGAAGAGGTATTATTTGATTCTGACCTTCTCATTGCAGTGCCTTGGGTCAGGTCGACCTTTTATTTTTAAAAAGCCTTCTCCTCGCGATTCGGTGCACTCAATCCGTCCATAGATCTTATAGCCAAGATTACCTTTTAGGAAAAACTATTAGAGTCACTGCTGAGAATTCAGCTGGACACATCTCTCCAAGGATATATTCAGCAACAGCTAATAATTTATATGATGACGGAGGAATGTTGCGTCAAACTGCCGCACTGTAGCCGTCTGTGATACGGCGCAGCGGGAAAACCGGTCAGTCTCGCAGCGATAGCGTTGGTATACCCAGTATTGAGAGGTATTATTTGGATTCTGACCTTCCCTTCATGGTTGGGTCAGGACCTTAATTTTTGGAAAGCCTTCGCTGCGAAATTCGGGTGGGCACAATCACGTTATATCTGAGTCATCTGAGCCAAGATTACCTTTAGGAAAAACAATTAGTCACTGCTGAGAATTCAGCTGGAACATCTCTCCAAGATATATTCAGCAACAGCCAATATTTATATGAGACGGGAATGTTGCGTCAAACTGCCGCACTGTAGCCGTCTGTGATACGGCGCAGCGGGAAAACCGGTCAGTCTCGCAGCGATAGCGTTGGTTTATACTCATACAGAGTATCACTTGATTCTAACCTTCCATTCATGGTTGGGGCAGGATACTTTTTGTGATACTGGAAGGCGAGTCATGAAACCTTACTATCCTTAGTGCGCGAGCAGCGCCGCTAAGCCCAATCTTGTTCAACACCCAATGAAGACAGTTCAATCTGTGATTTTGTGCTTATCAATAAACTACTGGAGCTTGTCTACTTATTGTGTTCGAATTTAAGCTGTCTTGTATTTCTTTATAGATTGCACTTGTTTTCCGTGATGTTAGCCTTTTCTTTGTCAGTGTACAGTACATATAATAGTAAGCGCGGGAGGGAGGTCAAATCGAAACTCTCCTATAGGGGTCGTAAAAATGTTGGAATCGGTCAACATGACGGTTGACCATGCTTACAAGCAGGGTCAGCCGCCCGTTGCGCAAAGAACAACGACGGGGGTCGTAAGCGAGGAAACCAGCGGTGGGATGCATAGCGATCCTCAGCTGCTGAGGAGTGGAGGGATGTGCAATGTAGTAGGAAAGGTAACTTTGTGAGAAAATGTGATGAAATATAATCTCGCAAAGAACCAGTTAAATAATATTAATTATATAATCCCACAAGTGAAACAGGAACCGTGACACATACAATTACATTCGCGACACTCCCACCCTCTCCGGGGAAGTAGAGGACCTTCAAGTGCCAGTGCGACCGCTAATCGCTGACATTAGTTTCTCAGAAAAATCTCTGTCAGCGGCCATGAGCAGACAGATTTATTCAAAAGAAGTATGATGCCTACAGACTATAAGTGAAGGAAAGTGCCACGAATTCGTTGGATCACTACTGAAGACTTACTAAAAATTTTGTCAAAACGATTTCCGGAAAAATTACGCAAGTACTCATAAAGAACTATTCATGTAGACTCCAATGGTTTTTACCGCTTCTCATCGTACCAATTCCAAAGAAAATTATGGGCGTTTGAAGATTGAAAAGTCGCGTTTCAGGAAAATGGCCTAAAAAGTCACAGAGGAAGAAACGGAACAACGGGACGATTTTTCGAAAGTGTGGCTATTCAGAAAAATCTTGTTAATTTTTGAAAAACGTCGAAACCTCTAGTTTCTAATTAAAACTAGAGGTTGAGCTTTGAGAATCTGCAAAAACTTAATAATGGAGGATTATAAACGTTTGAATGATAAACTCGCGCCTTCTCAAAAATCGGACCACAAACCCCTAAAACGGAACAACGGGACTATTTCCAGAGGGGGTCGCTTGAAAAAGTCAGGTGCTTTTTCGAAAGCGCTAATCTTCTAGTTTCTAATTAGCTTTGAACATCTGCAAAAAGTTGATATGAAGAAAGTTATGAATGTTTGAATGTCGAAAACTCGCGTGTGCACAAAAAACGGAACAACGGGACGATTTTTGAAAGAATTGAACATTTACATAAGTTTAAAATATTTCAGAAAGAAAACAATTTGAAGTTTCAAATTTTTGTTCGCATATCATGAGACCGCGAAGAAAAATGTAACATTCTGAATGGAGAGTTGCATCGTAACGTCATTGCTGCATCTAATCGGTGGATTGCCAAAGGACTACTACTACTACTACTAGTGCTGCGGACGTGCAGCAAGGATTTATTACTACGTTTAGTACAAGGATCGACCACAATAATACATTCACGGGGTTTATATACACAATATGTGGGCGGTCCTCAGATATCGTACCGTCGCTGGACCGTAGGGGGCCAGCGGTGGTACTCAAGTTTGGGGAATGAAAGAGCGGACCGCGCCGACGGCAGAACCTACTTGATTGCACACTTATGATACCGCCGGGTCATGCCTGCGGTATCATCTCAAGAGATACTCATATCAAGTTATGCCTATGGTTAATAAGTTGAACTAGCATGTTATCAATCATTTGTATGAATCCTAGTTCTATTAGGAGTTATGGGTTGTGGATCCACAACATAATCATTTAATTTATGGAAAAAGGAGCTTTGCGAGTTTGAAAAAAAAACCTGGTTGTTTCTTGGAAGTAGAAATCGCTGCAATTACTTTCATGACGGTTAACGCAAAAAATTGGAGATTGCTTCTATTTAATGAGCAAAATTTCATGTTGCCTCGATTCCCGTCCTCTGAGCGAGACAAAGCGCGCGGACTTCCACTGTCCACCACCTCTCCATGTCGGTGACGGCCCACACACCGATGACGGACCTAAAATTAGCAAAAGGACACAATAGCTAATGCGGGGGACTGTGCCAGGGTCAACCGTCCGTTCGAACTGTTCGAACGAAGGGGTCGCATTTTGGTCGGAAGGGGGTCGCAATTTCGAGGACTGCCAGCCACAGGCGCGTGCGTGGCGTATCCGAGGGCAAGAATTGTTTGTGCAGACCGCATTAGATTCGATTAATTATGCACAGAGAGACAGTTTTAGGCAAATTACGGTGTTTTCCTTGAGGAATAAAGAACAGTTGAATGCATCCCTATGAAAGGTTTGACTTCTCGGGGCTGAAATTAAAGTTCTTCGGGACCTAATTTTCTGAGGACGATTCTTCCAGACAACGGTAAAACACATAAGAAAGCAGAAATCTCGTAGTCTTCAAAAATGTCTTCGCCCCTCCCCAACAAGTTCTTTGAAGGAAGTTATTATTGCTGAAAGCTCAAAAACTCGCATGTGCTGCTCAAAAACCTATGGGAACAAAATGTTCGAACGTGTGATTTTCTCGGAAAATGAACTTTGAAAAACGGTTTGGTGCTTGTTAGAAAGAGCAAATCCTGTACTTTCACCCCATGAAAAAAAGTGCATCACAGAAATGAAAATGAAGTGAGTTATGGTCGCTGAAAGCCCAAAAACTCGCTTTTGCACGAAAAATGTTCGAACGGGACAATTTTTTGAAAAAGGGGACAATCACTAAACTTTTTATACTGTTTTGTTAGAGAAATATTTGAAGTTTCTGAAACTTTTTACAGATTTCCAAAATGTCGCATACGAAAGATTTTATGGGCCTTCAAAGTTGAAGGTGCGCCTTCTAACAGAAGTACTTTCCGGAGAGTTAGGCAATCCTTGTAGTTTTCTGAAAGCGCACCTCAGGCACAAGTCAAAATCTACCTCAACAAGTCAAAAAAATACGTCCCAAGAAAGTTATTCCCCTCTAAAATTTTTTCTTCGCCGCGTCCCGTTCTTCCAGCGCCCGGGTGATACCTGCCGCGCTCCAAGGCTGACGCGACGGCGGCGCAGACGCTTTCTGGCGCAACGGATTCATGTCTAGCACTCTTATTAACAAAAACAGGGGGTCGCAACTGGACCCCCTCGAGAGCTAGGGGGTCGCAAAAATCCCGAAAATGTTCGAACGTGACGGTTGACCCTGGACTGTGCAGGTACCCTCAAAGGGGTGGGAGTCGTAAAAAGTTAGAAATCTGCGCAACACACGGTTGACCCTGGTTACAAGACTTGAAAAAAGAGAGTTATGGAAGCGTAGTGGAAATGAGAACCGCTTCATAATGAATTTCACAACTCAGAAGCACAACGACAAATAAGATCACAATTTATTTCCAGACTCTGAATTAAGCCGGAAAGAGGTCATATAATGATTTGAGTTGATTTAAATGCACATTTCTTTTAAAATCAAGTAAAACACAAGTATACATCTAAAACAGGTATAACCAATCTACATCTTCTTCTTTGCGGCATCTGTCGACAGCACCTTTTTACGCTGAGCAAACATATACAAGTACAACTGAGGGAAACCTGGAAGATTGAGTTTTTGTTAAAGAGTTAATAGAATATGCACCACACGTGAACACATTGGCGACAATGTCATCTGATACCGCTCAACATCCCAAGGTTTAATCCTTTGGTGCAGACCAACCTAGCTGAATTTGTTTCAGCACTCAAATGTACCCTGCCCGCTCCCACTCGACAGCAATTTGGGAGGGGGGGGGGAGGATGAAGGTGTTAGGGTATGTTAGAAGTAGCAGAATCAGGCATTACTATCGGCATACCGACGCTATGGATCTAAGGGATCACCATGACGTTCGTCTTGTCATCGCACAGCCGCTACCATTTCCTCGATGGGATTTTAGTCCTGTTTTATAGTTATGTTTAGCTTCTAAGTTTCTATGCATAAGACTGTCTGTTTGCAATCAGCGTAAGAGCAACTTTTGGAGAAGACAAATCTGACTGCGTTTTCATGTGACAAAAAAAACTAAAGGAATCCTTCTCGGAAAAATCGTGATTCTATTTCTTCCATAATTCACTGGCTTGAGACCCATCGTTCACGATAAGAACGAAAAGAACAAAAAATTGCATTTGTTTTGGTAAAAATTCGAAAAACCGAAAGGGCTACGCGTTCAAAGTACCGCCGGACATCTGTCACAAATGCTGGCGACGGGAATGCTTCCACTTGGTTCTTGGAGTGCCGTCACTAGAAACTCTTTCTGGCCTTTTGACTTATTGCATTCACATCTCACACTTCTACTCCATCCTATTCTATCGATCGATTTGTCTCTACTCTCCAAAATCGCACGCTTTAACCCGATTCTTTCATTGCGTCGCCTGATACGTAGCCGCCCAAGGCGGACTTCTTTCCATGCCCCGCCTTTGGCTCCGCGCCTTTTACCTTCGATTGTCCATAGAGTGTAGTTTTTTAGGTTTCTCTTCGGAAACTGAATCTTTGTGCGTGAAACTTTGTGTGTTGTCTCTAGTGATCACAACCGAAATATGTTGGGAACGAATGCAAGCTTGATCCAGGAAGGATTCCTTTAAATAGGTTCCACGTGACTTCCAATTCTTTTGGCATGTTCGCTGTATAGGTGGTGCCAGCATTCAAACGATTTCTTTTTCGGGAACCGGGAAATTGTACTATTACCAATGTGTTGAGAGTGCGAAATATCAAAACTATGAATTTGACTCGAAAATATGTGAATACTCGCTTGACATGAACCTACCCGGAATGTAGAATAAGGCCGCTCCGATTAATACCCAATAAAAGGAGATGCTCATGTTGAGCGCGTTTGGCATCTCCAATGAGTAGTACTTCTTCTCCGCAACCTGGAACGAATCATCCTATCTTTCCTGCTTCAAAGCCATGAACACAGAATGAGAGTAAAATGAAATCAAATTTCTGCGTGAGCATGAAAGGAGATAACTGAAACACCATTCGGCAACATTTCAACTCCGACTCTGTGACGAGGACGAGAGGACTCTTCCCTAACTAACCTACATTACAGATGATAACGAAATTTTAGCGAACTAGCCTCGGGAAGACTGCCGATGAGAGTCAAAAGCTCGCCGGTAACACCAAGAGGGTATAGAACGATGAAGAACGTGTACCTATAATGACAGGTTTACAGTGGTTTGTGTGAACATGCGCACCCCAGACAGGACAGAATCGAAGCCTTCAAAAACCACTAACATCAGTACCGCCTTTTGATACTTGTTAGGGAGATGCAAAGCTGCAAATTATGGAATGCAAAAAGCCAGCTCATTACTTTCTTGATGCTGCAGAGCCAGCTAAAAGCCAACCACATCACAATACAAGAAACTGCCTGCTTAAGGACGACAAAGGCAGAAGAGGGTACAACCTCTACTAGACTCGAGGTTGAAAAAAAATGTGCAAGACAATGTATAGACGATAATTCTGCTACAGGGATTCTATCTCGGACGATATCCCTTGTAACTAGTGCCACTTTCCGATTATATTTACAAACAAGATAGCTCAATTTATCACTTTATTCACTGAATACTCATTCAAACCACAGAGTTCTAAGGTGAATTTTCCTGGAGGAAACACGTCCTGACCGTCGCTACTATCCTTCCCTACAGAAGACCGCTCCAGCACGACCGGTCAACGACCCTTATATCTCCTCCCTGAGATGGAGAGCGAAAGCATTAAGGGTGAGGGCGTCGTCCCTCCGGGCTTGGATAGAGCACGGCCCATGGTCATGCCGTTGCTATTGAACAGAAGCAGAAATGTCCACAAATAAAAAGAGGAAATACAGTATTAATGAAGTCATAAAATATAATGCATGCATATTCAGACCCACCTTATCCATGTAAGAAAATACGGCACAGCGTTGAAAAGGCCCAGAGCGTAGTACGAATACCTCACAACTTCAGTGACTGACCACGCCAAAAGCAGCATCGGAACTCCAATGCTTTCGCGTGCCTGAAGAAATGACCTGAGATTCCCATTCCGTATGTGAGAAGCAATGTTTACGCTGCGATTGCTGAATTGCAAGTAGCGGTATTACCGTCGTAGTATTGAGAAGCACACTTCGGAAATTGCCTTGTTCATACACAGTGCTGCGGTAATTTGGGAAGGATAAACCAGACATTTCTGTCAAACAAGGGAGAGTACGCGAAATTAACACCCATATTCAGGGAGTGGGTACGATGTCAAAGAGAAAACCAAAGTCATGAACTGAAAACAATGAGTAGTAAACCCCTTAGAGCCACGTGCAAACTACACGATTAAGAGAATTCGAGATTAGGGCACTAAAATGTGCTGATTAGGAGAATAGCAGATCCCGCTGAAAAGACACACACCGACTGATTTGACTGGAGACGCCTAATCTTCTAATCGATACACAAATAATCTTTTCATCTCCTGATTTCAAAGATCATGGAGTATAAACACAGTCATGCAAATGCGTAGGCGTAATCTGTCAAGTGCCTACGACACTGTACATCATCCAATAAAATGCGGGGATCAAATCCTGGGTAAAATCCCGCAGAGACCAACCAAGCTTTCGAGGTCGGGGAATTGGAACCAGAGCTGCCTGGGGAGATGAAAACACTCTACTTTTACATCAGCTGCTCCTTAACGCTTTATCCTTTTTCCCTTCAATGAATGCTGTTATGGGATATCCCTCCTACTTGGGCTAGACTACTACCGCGTAATGATATTGGAATGACGCCAAATGAGAATTCACCGAATGTCCCTAGTGAGCTACGACACTGCGACCGAAATACTAGGTGGTTTTACAATGAATTTCCAAAACTGTATATGTGGAGAACAATTCCCCACGTTATAAGTGGATCTAAATCTTCCATAAGGAACACATATCAAACATATCAGAAGTATTGAGAGGGAACTTACTGTCACACAAGTATGAAGGATCGGCCAAACCAATACCACACGACTTGTGACTTGCATGATCGTTGTCCCAACTGGCGAACGGACCAAGCCCAGTACGGCGTGCACCACATAAAAAAACGAGGTAACATGGAAAAACACGGGATCGGTACTTTAAGTCTAAGCACGAAATTAAGCTACCTAGATTCACTCGCTTTATTTCTTTACGAATGCTATACTATTCATCACATCAACACAACGACTCCAATAATAATGAAAAAAGTCAACAAGGAAACCAGAATCCTTACTTCCAGAATAGCTAGTGTCTGGAACAATTTCACTTCGGCTTCGACGGATGTGTACAACTGAGGCCATGTAAGATGTTCCGAAAGGCCATGGAGGGTTTTGAGTAGAATAATACCCCACCTAGAAAAAATGTCACAATAACAACTGCAGATATTACTTAGAAGTGAGGAGAAATCCTTCTATGATATAAACAGCTGAATTGCAAGAGAAGAAATCACACCAGCCCTCTAAAAATGTTGGGAGATTATGGCAATGTTGGGGGCTATGCCTTGCTTTTCCGTACTTCCTTTCCTCAACTATAGTAACAACGGAGGACTTTCAGGGCAAGCCGCGCTTTTCAATACGGTTTCTCGCTGAACGGTTCCCTGGTGCCAAAAAAGGGTCGAAAAGTTTGTTGAGAATGGGCGGTTTTTACAGCTTTGGAGTGACGTTTCAGACTTGCACAGAAGATCACCTGCATATTGAAGGCTGCTGATAAAGATGGTATCAAAAACAAGGTGAAATTTGCCTAATGCTCCGATCAATATATGACATCGATTTTTCCAGACTACTCCAATTTACGCCACTTCGGCACCATTTGGCGCCCTTCTGGAGGTTACAACTTTTTCCGCCATATTCCAAATCTGAGTTTAATAATTACTGGTGGTCCTGATAATGAATATGATACCTAATTTTCGCTGGTGCTATTTTGAGAAAATTTGGAAGCTCCAACTAAAATGCAAAAATTTTGTCATCACGGGGATTGATCCTTGGACCATTTCCTCACCACTTTTTGGCCTTCTCGGGGCCGTTCAGCGAAAATGGACCTTGGTTCTGTAGTCCACGCATGAGTTCCTATAATATGCAAAAACCGTTTTGAAAAAGCGCGGCTTGCCCTGAACGACCTCTCTTGTAAGAATAGTCTAAAGATAATGGATTCTCAGCGGAAATCTTTAATCTTTGATGCAAGAGGTTCCAAGTAAGTCGCGCCTAACGCCCATCAAAACAACTGTGGTACTGCGCCAGAAGCGGCAGTTGACAACTCAAACAAATCAAAAGCTAATATGATCGCATACCGACGACAATAATCGAATTGTCTCATCGAGTTACTTCCAGCTACCGCACCGCGACCGCGCGCTCAATCGCTATGTATTCGCCCTCTTGAGCGTTAGGCAATATTTTCCATTCCATTACCTCCCGCCACGCTTTTTTTCAGCATATGACATAGGTGATGTGAACAGAAAGTATCACAGCACTATGCACCAAACAACAATCGCGACAAAGCAGGAATTCTATACATTTGAAGAATCAACTAGATGATGGTCTCTCGTAAGATATCGTTTCACAGCAACGCTCATCGTTTCGTACGTGTACCAAGTAAGAGAAAAAGAACCAGAAATAAAAATCTAAAAGATCAGTGATCCTCGCCAGCACAAAGGACAAACAAAAGCCAGTGATTCTTGAAGAAATGCTGTATTTCTTTCGAGATTCCAGGCAGCAAACATTGAAGTCAAAGCGAACCATAACTGAGATACTCACCCTATGAATTGCACAGCGTTATAGGCGAAAAGATAGAGCTGTGACGGCTTCATGATCGAATCGTCGACGAACTGAAGTGCGGATGGTCCACGTTCAGCTAGCAGTTTTTTCGTTCTGTGCACGAATTCTGCACCGCCCGTACCCAGTTCGCTGTAAAAGCACTAATTACAGTTGAATTACGCAGAGGATGGACGAGATCAAAGGTAAGAGCATGAATCCGAGTGTTTAAGAGCGCGTTCATAAATGAACTCGTCAAAAGCGTCTATTCAGCAATCGGGACACTCGATGCCGCGATAAGGTGAACACCACGGCCCCGCCTCAGCCATTGTAATGGCGCGACATGACCACACCATATTACCAAAAAGTGATAAACCAGGTCGTCGATTTACGGGTGACATTGGCCTACAGCAGTGATAGAATTTTCACTTCAGGAGAAATATCAAATTAGGAGCGATTGCTATCGGAAGCAATCCAAAAGAATGCAGAAAACTACCTGTCATTGTAAAAGAAAAAAAGAAAATTGAAGAAAAACAGAGAATGGCTTGAAAAACAAAGCGACCCGAGGCACGGCAAGTCTGCACAACTGCGTTAGAGTAACGGTCAACGCTATTTCTGCCCCTAACCTAAGCCTTAGAGGAGGGAATCCGGAAATGCAAATCGTATACCCATCCCGCTGTCCCCCCGTTTACCAGGAGCGTTGCCATAACCCCTACTAATGTACACAGCACAAACAAGGGCAGCTACTAGATGGGGAACTTATTGTCTAGGTGCTTTAGGACCATATGAGGTACACCAATCCTTCTTATAAGATTCATTGAGAAATAAATGAATTCGGAATATTATTGAATTAAATCACTCTTATGAACGACATCCTGAAAAGGAGCAGAACATGCGAAAAAAGTTGCGTCTCATCCACGCACCTTTATGAAACCAATTCTGGAAGCATATTATAAACGAATCAACAAGGGAATCGAAGAGTATTTGAATACCTATAGATATTACTTAAGTAACATAAAAGCCGGTGGAGAGAAACCTACGAAACGCCCGGCCAAACAAGCTCAGACTTACTCGAATTATTGAAGAAACCAAGGATTCTAAAAAAATCCAAAGCAAAGACTGATATGCACAGCCGCCACAGACTACAACGCATTTGGTTCGAATAGGAGTCCTAGTGCCTCAAACTTTTCTCGCTACTATCCTTTTCACTGTAACAATGAATCAACAAATAAATCAAAAACAAAAGAAATGATAAGGAAACCAGATAATATAAAATAATTCAAACCACCAACAGCAGCTTATCGCGCTCCATTGCAGCTGCGATTGGAGCGCGCTTGCTTCAAGCAAATTGACACTTTTTGATGAATTTTTTTAAGAGGTAACGCAGCTCTCTGGTATAGCCTTTTGAACATTCCTGCACAGAAAAGTACCATGCATTCATACCAATCAACAATTTATGAATAACGAAAAGGAATGTTAGCTTCACTTTTGATCTACCGCCGTAGCCGCTCCGCGTGGGAATCATGCGTCCGAAGGTATTTCTATTCACTGCTACCGCCTGAAGCGGTCGACTATATTCTGTTATTCTGCTGTGCTGCAGCTGTGCAGGTCTGTTACTGCTTTTCTTCTGTACCAGTACCTGCTTACGCCTGCCGTTGTCTTGCTGGTGCAATTACCGTCGTCTGTTTCCTGCAACGTCAAGTCGTCGGATCTTGGAACTTATGGCATCAACTAGATGTTAGGATTAAGAAGACCGAAATTGTATAATGCAACAATGTCCTGACAGTACTGTAAGGGCGCGGTCATACTTTGCGACTGTCGCGGTTCGAGTGTGGGATAGATTCGAATCCATCATGCGATCATGGTTCATGGTACGTATTGTATATCAGTGTCGTATATCGCACCATACTCAAACTGTATGACCGCGCTTCAATTCATTGTGTCATTTGTCTACCGTACCGTACTGGATTTTTATCAAGTGGATGGTTTCCAATATAGTATATCAGTTTTTTTAGTCAGGGATTTTCACCAAGTGGAAGGTTTCCAAGTAGTGCACGCCCTTCTCCATTGTAACCAGCGTTCCAGGAAAAACTATAACGTTTTCCATGTATGTCAATGTAGCATAACATTAAGAGTGAGGTGGAGGATAAGTCATCCGAAAGTACAAGCCACTCCTGTTCAAGAACTCCAAAGTGACGCGTTGCAAGCCTGAGTTTAACAAAGGAAGGATTTCAGATTACAACAGCCATTCAAAATGAGATGTTTCTCCTATGTGCGCCTTAGAACGCTGATCTCAACATTTTCTAGATAGTGTCATACAAAATTATGAAGGTACACTGCTGGTAAAAACTGCGCAACTAGCACCCACCCATAGTAAAGCCAAGTGAGATGAGGGTTCTCCTTGTTTTTTTTCTGTATGTTTATACAGAAAAGATTCTATGATTATATTATAAAAATACTATTCGCTCTCAAATTTTTTTCCTTCCTCTGGATCCTTTGAAAAACAAGTTCTGAGAGAAGAGAGGAAAAAAGGCAATAGGTATGAAAGACAAGGAGATGACCTCGCTCCAGATGGCTTGGTTTTAACTAAAAGGGGATTTTTCCGTGGTTTCTTACCACAAAAGCTGTATTTCTTATATTCCATCCAAGGATGAGCTCGGAAGTTCTCGAACACACTTAAAAGGAGGAGTTTGCGATTAGAAGGCAGTCCATTAGAATTATGGTAAAGGTGGTCAGTGGTGCCACGATGAAGAAAAAAAAAACATGAGAAGCTACCCAAACTCGAGAAACCGGGCAACGTCCTTGCCCATTGATTGAATGCGACTCTCATCGGCGCTGCGGGGAGGGCCATGCTAGGTCGAAGTGGGGGGGGGGGGTGTGGTTCACTAGGACAGGAAGCGACTTTTCCGCTTTTCGCGCGCGAATCTTTTTTCGTTACGGGAGCCCCAGGCCAGTCATGATCAGTGGTGGAGTGAGGTTCCCACAACGAGGAAAGCTTAGCGCTGCGAAATGCGAAAATTTCGCTTTTTGTCCTACTGAGCCACACCAGTGGGGGAGGGAAAAGTAGCCGGTGGCACGGAAGCGAGTGTGCCGGATGCAGAGTAGTCGTGCGCGGGGCATGTGAGGATGCAGAATAAGGGCGTCGCGCTGCTGCGTGCTGGGCATTAGCTTTGGAATAAAACGGGTGGTTTTGACCACCAACTTGTTCATCATTTTTTGCGCGAGGAGAGAATGAATTATCTTATAGCCGGGTACATTTTGGCTCCAGAATGAATAGTTATGAAATGTTGGAGGGTTCGGCTTGTCATGTGCAAATTTTTTAGGGTATACTGTCAACTTGAATAAGCTGAGTCTTCTTCGAGCTCGGTTCCCGCCTACTTTTACTTATTAGACAGTGGAGTAAGAGCACAATAGATGCTCGGAGAAGTTAAAGGAATCTTCCGCGGAAAAAGCTCCGCCTCCATTACCCTAGAAAAACGGTACCCTTTACAAGGTACTGTTAATTTTACGATCCCCCGTGGCGACTAAATTTTGCATTTGAGTTGGCGCATATGGTTGGGTGCCAATCGCGCTAAATATCAAAATCAGATGTCAAGTCAATGTCAGGATCATCAGGACCATTTTGAAGCCAACAAGTGGCCGCCAACCTTGATTGCAAAATTTAGTCGCCGCGGGGGATCGAACCATCAAGGGTATCATTCACCACTTTTTTGGTACTACTAAAACCGTTCAGCGAAAACGAAACATGGTTTTGTGGTCCATACATGCGTCCCTACAATATGCAAAAACCGTTTCCAAAAAGCGCGGCTTGCCCTGAAAGACCTCCCTTGTTAGGCCCCTAGCCTCATGAGCATAGCAAAAAGAACGGAACATAAGCGTTAGTTTCGATAATACTAATCCTACACACAAGACAAAATGATCACTCTTTCCGTGGAAGATTCCTTTAAGGTATCGTTTTCTGTGGTAATGAGGGCGGAGCTTTTTCCGTGGAGGATTCCTTTAATGTGTTAAGTACTGGCAGCAAAGCTGGCCGTTACCCGCTCCCTTGCCGCCATTGTGACTTCGCCGACCCGCGAATGCGTCCGCGCCGCCGGCGAGCTTTTTCATGGAGCCAGTAAGTATTCCCTTTTTCTTCCTCCAGCTTTGTGGTGGATTCCTCCTTTAAACTGTACCCGCTGCGCAGCTTAAGTTCTGAAGAAGGATCGAGTGCCCTGGTGAACTGGATCTTTTTCTTAGGAGGCAGCCATTCATTTGATGAGGAAGCAAACTGGACATTCAGAGCTCATCTAGTTTCACATCCGTGCATATTCCTTCGTTCCTGAAATTGTCAAGGTTTCGTAACCTTGACCCATATTTCATTGCCTTGTAATTGGGTGACAGTTTCCGTTCTTTCCGAGACTATAACGAATAACGTTACCTACCTATAGCTGTCTAGTGTTGCCGGTGTAGCACACTCCTCAGGCTTTTTTTATTAAAGCAACTGCAAAATTTGTGTTCAGGGGGCCGCACAAGTCGGCGGGAGGGGAAGACTTTTTTAGCCGAGTCAAAAATTTTGTCATAAAAAAACTGGGACATTCGTTGTTGTTATTCTTCAGAACCATAATCCTTGGGCTGATATGTCGTCCGCGATCAATCCAGAGAGAGATTCATTATCGGGTTACAACGAAAGTCCTGCAACAATGCGGGCTGTTTCTCAAATCAGATATTTATTCACTAGTCAGACCATCAATGAACAATATGATCACCTTTGGAATTGTTCTCTCCCGAACAATTGATCAACATCATCATTAGGGACACGGGAAAATCTTTAAGGGCTTCTTCTTGATTCCACT